TTGTAGATCAATTCAAACCTATTTTGCAAATTAATTTAAAAAATTCTTCATTGCCCAATCACTCATTTTTTTATTAACATAATCCTTATAATATAAATACATATTATGCAAAAAACTCAATTTTGGTCAGGGGGCACTTAAGCTGCCTTTTGCTAGAAAACCCCCCCCCATTTGTTTTTCTTAATATTAATTGATATATAGAATTATTTCTTAGACCTTATTATAAAAATTTTTGTAATCATGCTACTTTTTTGATGTTTGGATGATATCTGTATCCATCAGCCATACGCCATTTCGGATCGACACACACAGATCGCATCACTAATGTGTATCACGCAAAAAAAAAAATATATATAATATAAATTATTTTAAGAAATGAATTTATTTTTTTCAAAAAAATTTTAAAGGGAAAAATGCCTCTACAACAACTTGTTCTTCACCCCACGGTCAACAATTCATTAAAGTATGCTAGCACAACAGTTGGTAGAGATAAGATATATAGAACTGTTCAATACTTTGCTCGGTTTCTTGTTTGGTATTTTAAACGTCAAGGTTATACCAAAGAAACAATTCAGAGATTTGCTAATTTAAAAAGTACATTAGGTCTTTCCAGAAAACGTATGTATTTAATTTGAAAATTTATCATTAAATATGTAATAAGTTATATATAAAATACATAATTCGTTTCTTCACAATTTAACAAAAAGTTATGAGACTTGGAAAACCCATGGAACATTTGCAAAATGCATCTAAAGCATTCAATGAAACAGATGAATTTGCAAAGTTTACAACAGTCGGTAGACAATTAAGTTATGCTGCTTATCTTTCTTTTGACACGTTTGCTTGGGTGATTATAATTACATAATTACATTGATTTTTTTAATAAATTATATATATTCTTATCGAATACATATACACTTAATCTTTTGATAGGTTCATGGTGTTGGCGTTTATAAATTCAATCAAATTCAAAAAATAAACACTTATGCTTATAGATTCTGGTTAATTGGACTTTTGTTTTCTATATTAAATGGTTTATACAAATTCCATAACAACAATCTTCGCAAAAGTTATTTCGAACGAATTAATAAGTCAAAGGTTGCAGAAGGCAGTGAAAATATCAAACAAGATATCGCTGATTTAAAAAGGTAATTCGATAATTAATTATAATTAATTTGTATGGTATTATATTTATATCTAGTTTTTATATTTATTTAGAGAGTATAAGAACACTATTAGACAACTCGTCCAAGATTTACTTGATATTACAATTCCTGCAACTGCTCTCAAATATATTGATCTCGGTGATGGATTTGTCGGAATAGCTGGTGTAATATCATCTTTATTGGGTGCTCAATCACAGTGGAAGAAAGTTAATAATTAAATAATTTTAATTAATATTACATATGTATAAATATATTTTCTTATTTGGCCCTCCCTTTTTTGATATACCTGGTATTACAAATTTTTGATGTAATATAATAAAAAAGTTTTTAAATATTAAATATCCTTAACGGGGCCCGAAAATTAAATTTTGACCCATCTATTAGGGGATTTACCCTTAATATTTTTTGAAAAATATATTTTTTAATAATATTGCCATCATGAAGTCCTATTATGACATCCTTAGTGTTGAGACTACCGCTTCTGAAACTGAAATAAAAAAGGTTTAAAAAACTTAATCAATAATTATTACATCTTAAAAAGCGATTTAACATGGTGTTAGTCATTAAATCCTCTTTTTTTTAATCTTTACTTTTAGGCTTATCGTAAGTTAGTAAGTTACAATGCTAAAATATATATTTTAATTACGATGTTTTAATAAAGTCAATTAAAAAGATTTAGTAGATTTAGAGCAAATTTTTTCTTAAGAAGTGTTGATGTTCAATTTCAAAATTTTTAATTTAGGCAATGAAATATCATCCAGATAAAAATCCCGATGAAATAGCAGCTGAAAGGTTTAAAGAAATCAGTCATGCGTATGAAACTTTGAGTGATCCAAAAAGGAGGTAATTTAACAATAATTTGTAGTATCTAACAAATTATTATCATCATTTATATGGTATTAAATTGATTTATATTGATTATAGGGATTTATACGATCAATATGGCGAAGATGGTTTGAATTGATCTACAACCCCAAATTTTATTTGTTAAACGAAATTCGATAAAAAAAAATTTATTATAATACAAATGTTAATATTAAATTAAATAATTGATAAATATTAATATTAATAATAAATAGGGTTTGTACAAAGAATATCTTTATATGGATTATCTACATGCTGACGAATGTTGGTATACAAATAATTTTTCTGGTCTTCTGATAAAGGGACAACTTCAAGAAAATTTAGTTGTGTATTTTTATCAAAATTAGTATTCTTCAAAAATTATAAGAATATTCTCCACCAGATTTTTTTGAAAAATAAACTATTCCAATATCAGCTGTCAAACTATTAAAGCAAAAATGATGATGCTTTTTTATATTTGGTAAAGTTCTAAAATGATCTTCTAACATGGAATTAAAGTCTTTCCATTTCCAACCTATCCCATTATCATATCTAATAGATTTATTATGTATAGATGATTTGTTTATAACCATCTTAACATCATCAACAGTATTTATATGACTGGTCTTGTATGCTTTTTTAATAGATCCAAATTTAGCATCACAAATAAATTTTGTGTGCCCAGGTATCATAAAATTTATATAAATATTCTCATACCAACCCAACATTGTCAACCATGACCAAAACCAAAGAGACAAATTGTTTTTATTTTGTCCAGGACAATTATCACATGTGACATGAAGATCTTTTTTATCAACATGACGATTCTTTAGGAGAAAATCAAAAACCATATTCAAAGTTGTGTTGGCTCCTTTTTTTGATTTTCCTTCTGGTAATTCATCTTCTCCTATAGTATAATTTAACTGATTATTTTTTCCGTCATCTGTCTTACATACACCAAAAAGGTGTATGATGAAAGGGGATTTGAAATAAATTGATCCAACTTGCTGAGATGAAAATGGAGCTGGGCCCAATCATAGCAAATGTGTGTTACTGTTGGATCATTTTTGCTTTTTTCAATTATGTTGGTATAATGGCTTCTTTCCTGTTCTGCATCTGTTTTGTGATTTTTGTATTCAAATTTAAGATTTTCTTTTTCATCATCATCATTTGTAAATCTTATATCTCTTTCAAATGCTTCACAAGTATCACAAAGATCAGTTCCAGGTGTTTGGAATTTAATGTATGGTGTTAATTGTTTCCATAGTTTGTAAAATGTATTATATTCAATTGGTCTAATAGATTCATATTCCAAATCAAAATAATTTCTAAATTCCTCATATACTGTAGTGTAATTTAAATAAGTTGATAAATAAATGATTAATTCTGATTCATCCCTCATTCTCATAGGAGATGGTAATCCATGTAAATTTGAGTATTGCAATAAAAAATTCTTAAATAATTGTGCAATTTGAGATCAACTATTGCATGTGATTTATTTTGAGGAATTTTACCAGTATTACCATGTATACAACTTATTAAACCATCTGTTTTTAAATGTTTTTGCAAGGCTATTAATTTTTTTTTACTAAAACCACTTAGTTCTAAAAAAACTGGTTGACAAATTGGTATTGTTGAATTATATTGATAATTATAAGTATCTCTTTCTGTTTCATCATTGTCATCCTCATCATTTAATTTAAAAACCATCAATTGTGTTTTAATACAAAGATCCAGTTCATTGTCTTCTAATCCTTTTAACTGGAATTTTCTTTCCAAAAAATTTCTAAAGCCAATTTTTTTAAAACATATTTTATCTTTTTTTATGACATTTGCAATTTGATTCATCTTCAAAAAATAATTCAAATCCTGGACTGCTTCAGATACTAATTCATTTGGTTCATATGCTTCTAATCCTAAATCATATAATTCTGGTAAAATTGAATTTTCAGGTGATAATTCCATGACATTTTCTAGATTTAAATTACTTGTGATATTACTATGAATTAAATCTACAGATGATTGATTTAAATTTGAAAACATGTTATAATTATAAATGGTAAA